CATTTTCATTCTCATCCTTCTTAGATTCCATGATCTGAGATTTCAATCTTTCGAGTTTACACCCTGTAGTCCCTTTTTGTCCTTTCAGTGTACTTATTTGACAAAACCCCATCTATACAGGGGAGTAATTATCACCCTCCTTACCTTCACCCAGACATCTAAGTACTGCTGAAGGAAATCCCACAATGCCCAAGAATTCTACTAACTTTAGTTAATTTACATTCCCTTTCTTCTCAATGATGAGTTCAAATCTTTCACTATAAACTTCCTCACCTTTATTTCCTCCCTCTAATTTGTATCAGATGACCTTTCTCTTAGGACAACATTCATTTCTTTTTTCTTCCTGTTTTCTTTTTTTATTTGTATTGTGATTTGGGTGAAAATTTACAGAGCAAATTCCCTTTCCATACAGCAGTTCACATACACTTTATCTGATGACATTGACTACAATTCACCACAATGAAACGGCTTCCCTCCCACTTCCTCCCAACAGTTGACTCTTCCCTGTATCCATTCCTCCACACACCCCTGTTTCCTGAGCTATCACCTTCTGCATCAACAGCCCTTCTTTCTCCCATGATTTCTCTCTCCAAGGAGTGTATTTACCTCAGGTAAATGTTCAACGCCTATGCCTGTCTTCACTTGGCTGGAAACCACAGGAGTGGGTTCAATTCTAGACCTGAAGGGCAGCTAGGGGCCATAGTCTCAGTGGTTCCAACAGGCTAGGACAAAATTTCTGAAACATTGGCCTATTCCTCTCATCAACAGTGTATTCTCTAACCCCCTCCAGTGAGTGTACTCTCGCCACTCCTAGAAACTCCTCTAGGTCAGTGAGGTCTTCTGTGCTGCTAAATCAAAGCAGCCCTTTGAACCAGTTCTACCTTGTTCGGTCATGGCTGACTAAGGACATCAGATCTAACCAGAAATTACAAGATATGAGTAAACAAGAACAAGAGCCAGAATGGGAAAAATTATGGCCTGATATCCTGCTAGAAATTTCACCTCTGTCTTAGAAAACAAGGATAGTGTGTCTATGTATTGCAAAGCAACATAATCTTCTGATTAGCAGAGTTGGAAACAATGGTGCCCTACTCAAAGATGGTAGCAACAACCATTTTGTGTGTCACTCTCTACACTCCTGGCAATTATCCAATCTCCTGCATCAGGCTCTTGAGAGACCTAACTATGCCTCTTTTGAATCTCCCATTCCAGGGCTTTGATCCATAGTATTTCCCATTCCAGTTCAACTACACCCAATTTTAAATTTCAGGTATGTTGTGATTTCACTTTGTCAGCCAATTATGAACCAGTTCACTCTGAAGCCCTGAGTCAAAGTCACACATTACAATATTTATGTAACTTAGTTTCTCATTCTCATATATTTAATACAACTGGCTTTCTTGAGAAGGTTTCTCCATTTGACATGTGTTGAGTTTTCAGTGTTCATCTTTGGTAATTGCATCCTGACTACACATACGAGGTTTCTGATGAGAGACAGACTTCTTATTAAATATCTCGCAGTAATATTTAGTGTGTCGGTTCCACTTGCCCAGTCTTA